AGGCAGTGGAATACAGTATATGAATAGATGAAGTCTCTGCATTTGTGGAGTGTACATTCTTATGTAGGTCACTATCAGTGAGAACATAAATATACATAATATTATCAGGTAGTGATATAGTGCTATAAAGGAGAAGGGAACAGGGGAGGCGACTGGTAAAAATCATGGAGAAATCTGAAAGTCCAAGCCAGATGCTTGGAGACAATCTTTATGTGTGATTATATGTTTAAAAATATGTAGAAAAAACTTAGAGATATTGGCTTAGGGAAAGAATTTATGACTAAGAGTGCAAAGGCAAACATAACAAACGCAAATAAATGGGTCTTGATTAAATTTAAAAAGCTTCTACACAGCAAAGGAAATGATCAACAGAGCAAATACACAACCTATAGGAGAGAAAATATTCATAAACTTCACATCTGACAAAGGACTAATATCCAGAATCTACAAAAAACTCAAACAAATCAGGAAGACAATAACAACTGCATCAAAATGTAGGCAAAAGACACAGACAAAAGTTTTTCAAAAGAAGATAGACAAGCGGCCAACAAACATATAATAGAGTGCTTAATGTTATCACTAATCAGCATGGAAATGCTAATTAAACCACAATAACCTATCACCTTAACCGTGCTACAATGGCCATTATTAAAAAGTACTGAACCTCAGAGTCAAAGCATTCTATAACAGACATACTCTTATTTGACAATGTGAATGCTACTTTCTTTGCATTATTATTATTATTGCTTAATATTTTGATGCAGCAATCATCTGATTTCTTTTCTGAATGTATTTATCTTCATTTATTCTTTACGAGGTTTTTGTTTCTAGTCCTTATCTTAAACATTGTTATTATTATTAAATTTTAAGCCTTTTTAATTTTGTGAAGGCAAAAAGTGGAAACCTAGTAAACACATGTATATGTAAAAAATAAGTCAAAAAACAATGAATGCTGGTGTGGATGCAGATAGGAAAGTATATGAATAAGATGAAGTCCCTGCATACACTCTTGGTGGGACTGCAAATTAGTGCAATTTCTATGGAAAACAGTGTAGAGATTCCTCAAAGACATAATTGTAGACTTACTTTCCACCCAGCAATCCCATTACTGAATATCTATCCAAAGGAAAAGAAGCCATTTTATCTAAAGACACCTGAACTTGAATGTTTATTATAGCATACTCAAATCATGTTTGATTTCTACAATTACAAGAGGTGTATACATCATCTTTTTTTGTCAGTATATATAGAGTATTACAATTCTAATACAGATTTTTTTTTCCTGTCTTAAGATAGGGATGCATATTTTGGCACCCTCTGTATACATATACATACACACACACACCATTTTTTATAGTAGAGTACTACTCAGCTATAAAAAGAAATGAAATATTGTCTTTTGCAGCACCATGGATGGAACTGAAGGCCATTTTCCATTTTCCTATGTGAAGTATCTCAGGAATGGATAAACAAAGACTACATGTACGCTCTAGTGACTGGGAGCTAAATGGTGGGAATCCATGGGCACAAGGGAATGTAAAGGTCCTAGGAAATCAGGAAGGGGTAGGGTGGAAGAGGAAGTGTGGAGTAGAAACTTACCTATTGGGTACAAGGAACTTTATTTTGGTGATGGACACACCTACAGCTCTGACTTAAGCATTATACAAGGTATCCATATACCAAATATATTTGTACCTCCCTAATATTTTGAAATTAAAATATTAACAAGTTTGATGCTTCAGCATCTGCTTTCTCTGTTGCCATCCATTTAAATCTAAAAGAAAAAATTTTTAGAAGGCCAAGACTTATCAACCTTACCAGGGAAAAGAAAAAGAATTTGAAAGAGCATTGCTTTTCAGTAATTTGTATCTAGGTTTTTATCTTTAATAAAATTATTTAAGAAAGTAATTTCAAATTACTCTATTTTATGTTAGAATCTTCCAGACTCAAATCTGTGTTCTTCTATTAAATTGCAGTATGACTTTAGGCAATTTACTTAACTTCTCTTGCCTCATTTTCATTGTCTACCACAGGGATCAGCTAACTTTTCATGTAAAA